GAATCTCGCTCTGTCACCCGGGCTGGAGTGCAGTGGCACAGTCTCGACTCACTGCAATCTCTGCCTCCCAGGTTTAAGCAGTTCTCCTGCCTCGGCCTCCAAAGTAGCTGGGACTGCAGGCTCTGCCACCAAGCCCGGCTAATTTTTGTTTTTGTTTTTGTTTTTGAGACAGAGTCTCGCTCTGTCACCCAGCTGGAGTGCAGTTGGCTCACTGCAACCTCGGCTCATTGCAACCTCCACCTCCCAGGTTCAAGCAATTCTCCTGCCTCAGCCTCCCAAGTAGCTGGAATTACAGGCACCTGACACCGTATGCAGCTGCTTTTTGTATTTTTAGTAGAAATGGGGTTTCACCATGTTGGCCAGTCTGGTCTCGAACTCCTGACCTCGTGATCCGCCTGCCTCAGCCTCCCAAAGTGCTGGGATTACAGGCATGAGCCATTGTGCCTGGCAAGAGTGCCCACTCTTAAACTGTCAGGGAAAACATATGCCAAGCCCTTGGCACCGTGCCTGGCACAATCACCATTCCCCATACACAGCAGCTTTATTCAGCAAGCATCCTTTGGGCATCTGCTGTGGGCCAACCAGGGAGACCTTTAGAGGGAGGCTCAGAGGATGCAGAGGAGCCTCCCCAGCAGGGACTGCATGTACTCACCGGGTGGGGGCTGCCTGGGTGGGTGGGGCACGAGCGTGCTGGCCTCTGTGGATGTGCACATCAGTTCTCTGGACTGTGCAGTGAAGGTCCCTGGCACGGAGGACAGAAGGTGAAACTCCAGTTTTCTCTTCCTAACCCTGAGTTTCTCACAAGAAACCCCAATGACCTGAGCTGAGAAACATGGCCACAGCCTGCCCATCGCCTCTTTGCCTTGCTCATGCCATTGTCCAGAATGCTCTTTCCACTCCACCTCTCTCATTCTTTAGGACTCAATGCTGGTGCCACCTCTTCCAGGAATTCTTCCTCTAGGGGCAGGATTGGGTGCCTCTCTGTGCTCCGGCATGTTCCTGGTTATTGAAATGATCCATGAGTGTCAGAAGGCAGAAAACCAGGCCTCCCTTTGCCCTCTCTCCCTGGGACCTCGCTCAGCAAGCGTGTTGACCTTGCCTGAGTGCCCCATGGTGGTCTCCTTGGCAGCTCAGAGCACCTGTCCCCACCTCCCCACAGCTCAGCTTCCAGCTCACCTGGTGGAGGGGCACAAGGGCTCCATTGTGGCTAGAGGGGACAGGAATAGGGTGACGCTCTAGAGGGTAGGGCGGGGGCTGGGGCCCAGAGAGATGGAAACCCAGACAAAGCCCTCTTTAAACAAGGATCGTGGCAGCTGTGCTGACAGTGTACTCCAGGAGCCGGTTAGCTGAAGGAACTGAATGCCCAGGGTGCTGTGAACTTGGCAGGGTCTGGAAGTTGTGTGAAGGTCATGGGTGGGGGGGATGGGCATTGGTACATGCTGCTCACCCTCCTCAGCACCAAAGGCCCCCCCCCACCCACAGCGTGCTCCTCAGGCCACTGGTCCTGCCTGTGTCCACAGGAACACTGGCATTGAGATGAGAGCGGGTGCAGCTGGTCGGGTTCCGATTGCGTCCCGTGGGGACCTCTGCCGGGGGACTCGGAGCCAGGTTTTATCTTCAGTTCAGTCTGAAACTAGAGCAGGACTCATGCTGCTATCTTTGGGGCCTGGGACAGGGACCAGATCCTGGAAGAGGCTCGCTGTGACCACCTAGCTTTTGGCCAGCTAGCAGGGGGCCTGAGTGAGTGGCCTCATTGTTTTCCCCGCACAAAGCCTGCTGGTCCAGCCTATCTGCAGCCCTCTCCTGTATCTGGCTGACCTGAATCCCATCTGATTGGAAAGACTTCTGTATGAGGCTGCCAGGGTCCAGCCTCCTGGGAAGCCACTCCCCTCTTCCCTCCTCCATTGAGAATCCCCTAAGCGGCCTTGCCAGACACCTGAAGGTCATAGGTTAGTTTCGATGCAATGAGCACAGGTATGAACCTACCCCAGGAGTCCAGGTGGTGAAGGAAGGGGGTTTGACCCAGGGTACACGTAGAATGCTGAGGGAGTCTGGTGGGAGCCCCCAGGCTATCATCCTCCTGGGACTGGATGTCCTAAATCCGCAAGCTCTTTCTGGGTAGATTCACAGGGACCCTCAAGCATCTCCTGGATCCACAGAGCCCAGCTTCACTCACAGCTCTGCTGCCTGCTGCCCCTTCACCAGCCTCTCCCCACCCCTGAGCGGCTGCCCCTCATGTTTTGTCTGTTCCCAAGCCCTTTTGGGGACTGCCACCAGCCCTGGCTCTCCTGCTGACCCAAGAAGGGAGCACAGCCTCTGTCTTTGCTTCCATGGGGCACCCCTATGGACAGCCCACCCTCCTCAGTGCCCTGCCCACTGTTAGGACTCAGTTTACCTCTTTGGACAGTATCTTATCCCTGGTTAAATTAGGTAGGGCTAATGTGCACTGTGGGTGTTGGGGCTTCCTGGAATTACAGGAACTACTGAGGGACAGGGCGGGAACTCCCCTACCTGCCCCACCCCACAAGGCCCCCTGTGGGAGTAGGGGTGCAAGTGTGTGTATGAGAGCTGGTTTAGTAGGGTAGCTGGAGTGCCAGCCAGGACCCAGACTGCTCTAGCAACGTGACTTTGTGCCTCAGCTTCCCCGTCTGAGAATAATCATCATGATAATTCAAGTTGAAGGGCTCGGTAACGATGATCTGCTGCGATCACGTACTGGGAGGAGGGATCTGGGAATGAAGGCTGCCCATGCCCTTCCCCTCCCCCGCTTCCCTCCCACTGAAAGAGGGGATGGAGGAGACGCCCCTGCTGGCCAAGACTACCGTCTCCCACTCTGTTCAGCACCCATGGCCCCAGGGAACATCCTCCCCTCTCATGAAGAGCACAGTGGTGACTCATTTTCCCCTGGCTGGCTGGCACAAGCCAGGGCCACAGGGAGCCCAGGTGTCCCCAGACACAAAGCAGCACTTAGAGGTGCCAGCTGCCTCTCAGGGCACTGAGGAGGGTGGGCTGTCATAGGGGTGCCCATGGAAGCAGTGTTTGGGGGTGTGGGCGCATGAGAAGGACAGGTACTATGGTCCAAAGGGACCTTGGGCAGGTGCAGGGCCTGTGGAATCCCAGTGACCTTCTCCACAGTGAGGGTGGGGTTGTGGCCCTTGACTTGATGGCAGACTCATGGGTGCGGGGAACAGGCGGTCATTCTCAGTCTCCACTTCCGTCCTCTTAACAGTCCCTTGACCTAAGACTGCTGAGCTCTCCTAACTAAGACACGCCCAGCCCTGCCCGGCCCTGTGCCCAAGCACCTCATACGCCGTCCCAGGGTCTTCTCAGCCCTGCCAGTGGGTCATGCTGCTGTCCCATCTGACAGAGGAGGAGACGGAGGCTCAGGCGGGTCACACCAGGCCCCACCACCGATAAGAGGTCACACGGGGCCTCAGCGCCTGCCCTGATTCTCCTCTGCTGCCCTGTGCCCCTCAGCCTAAATCCTCCAAACTCAAGCCCTCCTGCACATCTTTGAGTGTCTCCCATCATTTCCATGAGTCTGGCACTGACTCTGTCCCCATGCATACTACCCTCTTTGCAGCCTCTTTCCTTTACAGCTCTGCACAGAGCTCGGGACAAGGCTCAGCACACACCAAGGATGCAGGGGCAGAGTGGAGCAGGCCCAGAGATTGTTCTAGAAAATGGGTCCCTTAGTCACTTTTGGAAGAGGGGAAGACCCGACCAGGACCCTCCTGTGTCTCAATACACATGCCAACACGTGCGCGCACGCGCGCGCGCACACACACACACACACACACAGTGCTGCCACCCATACCCTACATGGAGGGGAGCCCCAGCTCCCAGTCCTTGCTCCCAGCCCAAGCCGCTCCACCTCCCCTTCCACTCCCAGCTCAGGCTCAAAGCTGCAGAGGACCACTGCTGCAGTTCCCTCACACCCCTCTCAGCTGAGAGCGGGGTTCCCCAAGCCCAAGGCTCTGACCTCACCCTCACCCAGCTGCTTTCAGCTCTTTGCCCTGCCCCAGGGTCTGCCCTGGAGGGGTGAGGCGGGGCAGGCAGGGCTGTATCAAGGTGAATAGGAGTGTATGGGCTTTGAACACAGAGCCTGGTTGCACCCTGGGTCTCCCTGGCTGATGTGTGACGACCTGGGGGATGTGACTCCTTTGGACCCTGATTTCCTTATCCGTAAGATGGGAGTCATAGCTGGCCTTAGCCTGGCGTCATGGCAGGGGGTTAAAAGAGACTGTGTGAGGTGCGGTGGCTCACACCTGTAATCCCAGCACTTTGGGAGGTGGAGGCAGTAGGATCACTTGAGGTCAGGAGTTCAAGATCAGCCTGACCAACATGGTGAAACCCTATCGCTACTAAAAATACAGGTGGTGTGCACCTGTAATCCCAAGTACTCGGGAGGCTGTGGCAGGAGAATGATTGAACCCAGGAAGCGGAGGTTGCAGTGGGTCGAGATCACACTACTATACTCTAGCCTGGGAGACAACAGCGAGACTCTGTCCCAAAAATAAAGAAAGGAAAGAGCGTGTGCGTGGGTGCTTGCAGCAGGTCCTGACACGAAGTGGGCCCTGACAGATGCTGGCCGTTCTGCTGCTGCCCCTCTTTGGCAGAGGGGGCCTGGGCGTGGTGCTGCAGTGAGGGGCAGGCCCCCAGGGTCTGGGCTCGTGGTAGCCTGGGCATCGCCTGTGTGTGCTCTGTCAGGAATGTGTCCCCTTTGGGCACAAGGCCAGGTGATGGCAAGCCTGACCTGACACGGGAAAGCTGAAGAGGACAGAAATGGACTCTGGCTCTGGGACCTACCTCCAGTGGGACCTGGGCCCTGGACTCCAGCCTCTGGCCTCTCCCATCCTTTGCCCAGGAGCTGAGGTGAGGAGGGGTAGGGTCCGAGCCCTGACGGGCTTGGTTAGCTTTGTGAACCCTCCTGAGGGTTGACCTCACAGGGACCTGGGGATCCCAGGTGACCGCTGGCCTCCCTCCGGGGACCTTTGCAGATGGTGGTTCTCATGGATCCCATGGAGGATCCCGACGACATCCTGCGGGCACATCGCTCCCGGGAGAAGTCCTACCTGTTCGACGTGGCCTTTGACTTCACTGCCACCCAGGTGAGGGAGGGCCTGGGTGTGCAGACACACAGGAGCCCCTCCTCATCCTTAGCCCCACTCAGGAGGGGCCCTCTGGAGACCCTGCCCTTGAGCCTCAGCCTCCACTCCACCTGCTCACCCTCTGTTCCTTGAGCCTTGCCCATTCAGGAAGGTTCTCGTGCACATGTGACACGCACACACACCCAGCCTCCTGCATGGACACACTGGGATCAGCACTCAGACACCATGCTACACGTATACCTTGCTGGCCCCTCCCAAGCTGGAAAAGGAGCTTGAAGCCCATCTGGTGCGAAGAGGACAGGTGGAGGGTGGGTTTGGGGAAGCTGACACCTTCCTTGGGGACCCCCATCTCTCCCATTTGCGGGACGCTCCTAGGAACAGATGTGACACTTTCTCGGGGCTGGGGCCAGGAGCCAGCTGTACAGGGAGGCGTCTCAGGTGTCCTGGGCTCTCTTTCAGCCTGGCGTCGCTCACCGAGGGTGTAAGCAGAGACGCCCCCTCCCCTACTCCCCACCCCCACTTATCTTGGGCCTGGGCTCCAGGGACAGAAGTTTCTCCAATCAGAGGTCAGGGTGAGCCAGTGGGTGCCTGTGCTGTGCCTACCTGTGTCCAGGCCCCTGACAGGCCTCCTTCCTCGCAGGAGATGGTGTATCAGGCCACCACCAAGAGCCTCATCGAAGGCGTCATCTCAGGCTACAATGCCACTGTCTTTGCCTATGGCCCCACAGGTGAGGGGCACGCCCAGGCTGCGGGCAAGGACTGCAAGAACTCTATAATCCCCATCGCCCTCTAACTAGTCTGGCCCCAGCGGGGCAGGAATCCAGGATGTGGCTGCTCCAATTCCCACCCGGGGACCTCCAGCCCCAGAGGCCCCATCCCGAGCCAGGGACATCATCCTCCCCATTCCCCATCACCTACTTGGCCATCTGGGAGGGCCCAGCCTTGAGGACAGACCCCAGTTTCCAGGCTTGCCTACCCAGCAAGGCCTCCCTCCCCTGATCACCCACCACCTGGTTCTGCCCCAGGCTGTGGGAAAACCTACACCATGCTGGGCACAGATCACGAGCCTGGCATCTACGTTCGAACCCTCAATGACCTCTTCCGTGCCATCGAGGAGACCAGCAATGATATGGAGTATGAGGTGTCCATGTCCTACCTGGAGGTGAGCCCCCAGCCTAGGCTCCATTGGGGCTGGCCCGCCTCCCGGGGGCAGTTTCCTGGAGGGCTCATCACTGCTGCTCTCCCTCATTCGTGTTGTGAGTTCCACTTTGCAAACACTGCAGGCTCATCAGAGAGGTTAGGCAACTAGGCTGATGTCACACAGTCAGCGAGGGAGTGGGGATTCAAACTCGGGACCCTGCGGCTTCGACGCCAGGCTCTGCCCTGTGCTACGCTCACCACCTCCCCATGCTCCCAGGCCCATTCCTTAGAGCAGACCCTGTGTGCCCTGCCAGGCTGCCCCCAGTGACTCTGTGTATGTGTGTAGAGTGAAACTGAACATACACGTACAGGTTGGAACCTACTGGCCTCTGCCACCGAGCCACAGCCTCCTGGTGCCCACCCCGTGGGAGTACTGTCGCCAGACAGTGATGGGATGACATTGAGGGTGACAGAGTCCAGAAGAGGCAGGAGAGCCAGTGGGCTGGACTTGGCCCGGCTCCTCTGGGAGCTGATAATCTCCTGGGTGATAGCTCAGGGAGTCAGTGAGGTGGAGCACCAGCAGCTGCCGGCCAACATGGTGTGGAGTCAGCCAGCAAGACTCGCTTTGGGGAGTGGGGGATGCCCCCAGAAGGAGCATAGGGGTTGCCTAGCAATAACAGGGCCGCTCGCCTGGTGGGGGAGGGGGTTCTGGTCATTTTCAGGTCCCCATGCAACTAGGTCAGTGTCACACAGTCAATGAGGGAGTGGGGATTCAAACTCAGGACGCTGCCGGACCCAGCCTGTCTAGAAAGGAGTCCTCCTTGGTTTTGGAGCCTCCAGCAGCCTGAGGTTTCCTGTGGATGCTGAAGCCCCTGACCCCTAGGAAGGAAAGGGCCTTTCCTCCTAATTGGGTCTCTTCTGAGAGGAGCCTGGGCTCAGAAAGTGTGAACTATTGCCCCTTTCTTGCATGAAAGGAAAGGGGACTTGGCCCTGGCCTAGATCTCCTGCCCTTAGCCTCCCTCCCCCACACCTCCTCCACCCATCCCATCAGATCTACAATGAGATGATCCGGGACCTGCTGAACCCCTCCCTGGGCTACCTGGAGCTGCGGGAGGACTCCAAGGGGGTTATCCAGGTGGCCGGCATCACTGAAGTCTCCACCATCAATGCCAAGGAGGTGAGTCCTCTAGGGGCCACCTGGAGGACGCTTGCCGCCTGGGGGGCAGGGGAGGCAGGGACTGAAGCCAGGGAGCTGCTGCCCAGTCCGCTGAGGCTGGGGCAGACAAGCAGAACCCTGAGTGGCATCAAGGAGGGGACTCGCACCTGCCCCGATGCCCCCGCCACGTTGACCCTGGGAGAGTGACCAGGCAGCGCTGCCTCTCCATTTACACAGAGATGCTGACCTCCCGAGAGCTGAGGCCTACCCCAGGCCTCTCAGCGCAAGAAGCTAAGCCCACCCCAGCCTGCCCTTTCCCGACGCTCAGATAAGACGTAGGACCCTCCCCGCCACCCCACCACCCCGCTCCGGGTCTCCTCTCTGCTATAGCATCTCCAGCAGTCCCAAAAAGCTGCCGCTCCTCCCTCCCACCCAGATCATGCAGCTGCTGATGAAGGGGAACCGGCAGAGGACCCAGGAGCCCACGGCCGCCAACCAGACGTCCTCCCGCTCCCATGCAGTGCTGCAGGTGGCCGTGCGCCAGCGCAGCCGGGTCAGGAACATCTTGCAGGAGGTGCGGCAGGGCCGCCTGTTCATGATCGACCTGGCTGGCTCGGAGCGCGCCTCCCAGGTGAGCTGGGACCTGGGGACAGAGGATGGAGGGCTGTCCCAGGGAGGAGCAGAGCGCAGGGACGATGACTCCGATGACTGACTCTTATTCGAGGTCGGCACCACAGGAACAGGGGACAATCATTGGGAGGTGGGGACAGGGATGATGGCATCTCAGTGTCCTAGAAGTTGGAGGGGGGAGGATATCGTAGGGAGGTGGAGGGGATGAGAGGAGACCCCAGGGTTAAGGAAGTGAGGAATGTGCCAAAGGAGTGGCGGAGGGAGAGAGGTGGAAAAGAACAGGGTGGGGCATCCAGGAAGAGCCAAGGGGCTCTTCTGGGAAGGGGTAGGAGAATGGGGGTTTCTCCAGGCAAGGAGACTGTGGCCGCCCTCTGAGAGGGATTCTGAAAACAATGAATCGGCCCAAAGTAGTTGGAGGCGGGAGAGACAAGCGTCCCCTGATTGGAGGGACGTGGGACATCCTGGGAGAGGACCCAGCCAGTCATATCATGAAGAGGAGAAGGTGCTGCCCATCACCCATTTCTGGCAGCATCTTTGTCCCCTCCCACGAAGCTTGCTTGCCAGGCTCTGCATCCTTGGTGGCAGTGCCACCCAACCGGTGTAGGTCCTGGCTCCCTCGTGCAGGCAAATTTGGGGTTTTATGGTCACCTGAGCAATGAGGCTGGTGATGTCACCATTGCTGGTAGTGGAACAAACACAAGGGAAATGACAGCACCAGAAAGAATGAACAGGCTTTCATGTTGGGTTGGATCTGAACAAGGCAGGTTCAAGAAACTCACCCCTCCCTTCCAGTAAATCCTGGGGGGCTTCCTGGAAGGCACACAGGGAGAGGCCTGGGAGGAGAGAGAGTGCCCTTCAGCCACTGGAGCCAGCCAGTCCAGGCTTCACCAGGCTGGGCAGAGCCACCGCCTACAGGGAGCTGCAGGCCAGGCCTCCTCAGCTTTTCTGTGCTCCTGCAGCCCCAAGAAAAGGAGAGAACCTCCCCCCCCGCCACCATGCACACCCTGCACACATGTGCACATGCCTCCCTCCTTGCTCCCTGGAGCACGTGCTCTCTGGAGTGCCTATGGTACTGCCTGCTCTCAGCTGAGCTGCCTGAGAAGCAACCTCCCTCCCATCTCTTCCATGGCGCTGTGCGTCAGGTTGTGCCACACCTGCCCGGGGGAGAACAGGCCATGCCAGCCCTCCTCAGAAGCTGTCAGCCCATCACTCTTGTTCAGATGCCTCCGGTTCTCTTAACCTTCTCCAATGCCCTCCACAGCCGTAGCAGGAGAATGGCCACAAGGTCCTCGGGGGTTGATTACCCAGGATTACCACGTCATTGGATGGCTGGGGAGAAACCCAGTCCCCTGCCACACAAGCCGCACTTGTGTCCTTTGCTTGCCCCCTAGACACAGAATCGTGGGCAGCGCATGAAGGAGGGGGCCCACATCAACCGCTCACTGCTGGCTCTGGGTAACTGCATCAACGCCCTGAGTGACAAAGGCAGCAACAAGTACATCAACTATCGCGACAGCAAGCTCACCCGGCTCCTGAAGGTACCCGCCACAGCTGGGCCTGGGCACCAAGCACGGAGGGTGAGGCTGCCAGATCGAACAAATGAAAATACAGGGCAGCAGCTAAATTCCAACCTCAGGATACACAGCAAAATTTATTTTAGTGTCAATGTGTCCCATGCAATGTTTGGAAGATTCTTCTACTAAAACAAATTAGTTGTGTATCTGAAATTCAAAGGTAACTGGGTATATCTGGCAACCCTAACAGGCTGGGTGATGGGAAGAGAAAGGAGAAAGGAGCGCGTGATACCCCCATGCAGGGCTGTGGGTCAGAGCCGTCTAGATTTGGGAGTGCAGGTGGGCAGTCATCCTCATGGCCCACAGGTCTGCTGTAGCGGGGGAGCTCCTTTGTGCAGGGCTGGCCTTGGCCTTAAATTATAGCAGCATCACTGAGAGCCCACTCCTGGCTGGACTCTGAGTTCAGTACTTCACTCTGTTAGCTCCTTGGATCTTGTCAACAGCTCTGTGAGTTCAGAGAATTACATTTGCAGATGGGAAGACTGAGGCACGGCACGTTGGGTTCACACTAGTGAGCGCTGGAAGTGGGATCCATCCAGAGGCCTCCCTGGTCTCATATTGGAGTCACTGCTTAGTTAGCATTGCCATCAGCTGCCGTCACAGCTGCACCTACAAGCCAGGGAGGTGGGGACAATTCCAAAAGGACTGCCCCCTTAAAAAGCAAGGAAGGCCGGGTGTGGTGGCTCATGCCTGTAATGCCAGCACTTTGGAAGGCCAAGATGGGTGGATCACCTGAAGTCAGGAGCTCAAGATCAGCCTGGCCACCATGGTGAAACCCCATCTCTACTAAAAATACAAAATAGCTGGACATGGTAGCAGATGCCTATAGTCCCAGCTACTCTGGAGTCTGAGGCATGAGAATTGCTTGAACCTGGGAGGTAGAGATTGCAGTGAGCCGAGATAGCACCACTACACTCCAGCCTGGGCAACAGATCAAGACGCTGTCTCAAAAAAAAAAAAAAAAGAAAAAAAGAAAAAAGAAAAGAACTGGCTGGGTGCAGTGGCTCACGCCTGTAATCCCAGCACTTTGGGAGGCCGAGGAGGGTGGATCATGAGGTCAAGAGATCAAGACCATCCTGGTCAACAAGGTGAAACCCCGTCTCTACTAAAAATACAAAAAAAAACTAGCTGGGCATGGTGGTGCGTGCCTGTAGTCCCAGCTACTCGGGAGGCTGAGGCAGGAGAATTGCTTGAACCCAGAAGGTGGAGGTTGCGGTGAGCCGAGATCGTGCCATTGCACTACAGCCTGGGTAACAACAGCGAAACTCTGTCTCAAAAAAAAGAACTAAAGAGGTGAAGGAGCTTTTTAAGGTTACACAGCTGGTAATTGCTGGAGTGGGGCTTTCTTCCTCCCAAGCTTCCCAGCACGTGATGCCAGCAGCCGGGTCTCATGAGTATAAGAGAGAAAGAGATTGCACTCTCCAGGAGGGCATCGTGAACAGCCTGGCAGGAGGAAGGCCTGGGGAGGCAGTCCCCGCTGACCTCAGCCGCCTCCCGTCCAGGACTCCCTGGGGGGAAACAGCCGCACAGTGATGATCGCTCACATCAGCCCTGCGAGCAGTGCCTTCGAGGAGTCCCGGAACACCCTGACCTACGCCGGCCGGGCCAAGAACATTAAGACTAGGGTGAGGGCCCCTGGACCATCCACCAGGACACACCTTCCTGGGCTGAGATTCAAGCCCCTGGGCTGATCCCTGCCACCCCACCCCACTCTCTGGAACCAGCCACTGCTGCACTGGCCTCATTCCTCAGTTCTGTCCCCTATACACTTTCCCTGCACCTCCAAACCTGCTCCTCTGCCTGGAAGCCCACAGCTCCCAGGGGTCCCCGCTTCCTCCAGTTCCAGGTCTGTGCTCCCCTGCCTCACCCCGTCTTCTTGCATTTCCAAAGTGCCTCTTCAGGACAGCCCTCACAGGAGGCAGGCTTCACTGAGCACTGCTCTGAGCCCTTTCACGTGCTGTCTCCTTTGATCCTCGAAAGCAAGCAGGTGTTACTGCTGTTCCCATTGTACAGATTAGAACAGCAAGGCTTAAGGAGGTTAGGCAACTTCCCAGCTGGCCAGTGATGGCGCTGCAGATGGAAACTAGATCTGCCCTGTTTCCAAGTCTCTGTCCTCACCCATCTGTAAGCATGTTGGAACCCTTGCTGTCCACTTAGAAACCGATTTCCGCCTGTTTGTGTGTGGAGAGGGAATAGATAAATGCAGAGCACGCAGGGAACATTACCTCTAACACTTGCCAGCTTCTGTCCTAGAGGCTTTAAGTGTTATTCCAGCCCCTCAATGGGGGACGGAGACATATTCTTGAAACAGCTCACTGATGGTTCCGAATGTTATCAATAGCAGGTAAATGATGCCAATGGTAGATGCTTAGGCGAGTCAGGAACAGGAGGCGGGGGGTGGGATGGTGGGGTCGAGTGAAACTCTCTGGAGACTGTGAGTGGGACCCTGAAGGCTGGGAGGACATTCTAGAAGGGTAAGAGCAGGGAGGACAGAGGTTCCAAAGGTAAGTAGGGGCTGGCATCCATGGTGGGCATGGAAGATCAGGACAGGTTTTTGACTGGAGCGGGATGTTGGCACAAGGGCAGTGAGCCCAGAGAAAATCAGAGAGATGGGGGTGGAGGAATGAGGACATCCCCCACAGGCACTAGGCAGCCACTGAAGGTTGATATGATCTAGCAGTGAGTGGGGCAGGAGGTTGTGAAAGTGGAGGAAACGAAGTCATTACTGTTACCCAGAAAGACTAGCAGAGGCAGGGGAAGAAACGCCCCTGAGCAGGCAGCCTCAGTGAGTGTACAGAGGCGAGGCCGGGACCTGGGGTGACTGCACCCCGCCCCGGCTCCACATTGTGCTCCCTGCAGGTGAAACAGAACCTGCTGAGCGTCTCCTACCACATCGCCCAGTACACCAGCATCATCGCTGACCTGCGAGGCGAGATTCAGAGACTCAAGTGCAAGATCGACCAGCAGGCTGGGCGGGGCCAGGCCCGGGGCCGGCAGGAACGGGGTGACATCCGCCACATCCAAGGTGCGCCTGCGGGTCTGTATGAGTGGGAGCCCCCTCCAGGCAGCCTCACTTTGCTCTGGGATCAGGCTGTGTTGGGTTCAAATCCAGACTCAGGCTCTTTCTGGCTGGGTGATTGGGCTAGGCACTCCCCAGCTCTGAGCCTCCTAGCCTTCCACTATAAAATGGGGTTATGATCTCTGCTTCAGACAGTTGCCAGAGATCACAGCCCATTTTTCAACTCCACCTTGGAAGAGTAGGTGGGATCCCGAGAGGAAGAGGCACGTGAGCAGAGATGCGCAGCGCATGCATTGGGGGCTGCGGTGTAGGTCGAGAGGTCACCCCTGCACCACGGAATGGGCTCCGTTTTCTTGTAGACCTGCATATTTGCTATGATGGTTTCCAACAGACACTAAAGCTTCTTTAAAAAAAAAATCACTAATATAAAGAAGCAGACAGTAAAGCTTTTTTTTTTTTTTTTTTTTTTGGAGATGGAGTCTCACTCTATCACCCAGACTGGAGTGCAGTGTTGCAATCTACGCTCACTGCAATCTCCTCCCGGGTTCAAGCAATTCTCCTGCCTCAGCCTCCTGAGTAGCTGGGATTACAGGCAGCCACCACCATGCCCGGCTAATTTTTGTATTTTTAGTAGAGACAAAGTTTCACCATGTTGGCCAAGCTGATCTGCAACTCCCGACCTCAGGTGATCTCCCCACTTGGGCCTCAAAGTGCTGGGATTACAAGCGTGAGACACCGTGCCTGGCCACAGACAGTAAAGTTTCTAAGGGCACCTTTTTATAGTTGGCACAGAGGTGCTGTAAGTGTTAGCAGAAACCCACTTCAGACCAAGGAGCTGGGAGGCACTTATGGTAGCAGCTTGAAGAGTCAATGTGGGAGTGGGGTGTGGGTAGATGTAGTCATCTAGGGTTCTTTCTAGAGGAAGAAGTTGGCCAGAAAGAGGGAGCAGAGAGTGGGGAAGAAAGGGAGGGGAGGGCCCCAGGAAGGCCCAGGCTTTCCCAGCTGAACCTGCCCTCTCCTCTGACCTCGCCACCCTCACCCACCCACAGCCGAGGTCCAGCTGCACAGCGGGCAGAGTGAGCAGGCCGGCATGGGACAGCTTCGGGAGCAGCTCGTCAGCGCCTTCCAGGAGCAGATGGATGTGCGCAGGCGCCTGCTGGAGCTGGAGAACCGAGACATGGAAGTCCAGATTGACACCTCCCGACACCTCCTCACCATTGCTGGGTAAGCCTGCCGCCCCAGGACCCTCCAGGTCCCACCCCAGCGGAGCACGAGTTGTGGCTGCACACTGTCCTGCCCCCAACCCCACTCCCAGCCTGAATGCCCTGTCTCTCCTGGTGGGGCTGCGGCAGCTGGAAGCATGAGAAGTCCCGCCGGGCCCTCAAATGGCGGGAGGAGCAGCGGAAGGAGTGTTACAGTAAGGACGACAGCGAGAAGGACTCAGACACAGGCGATGACCAGCCAGACATCCTGGAGCCACCCGAGGTGGCCACAGCCCGGGAGAGCATTGCAGCCCTGGTGGGGGAGCAGAAGCAGCTTCGAAAGCAGAAGGTGTCCAGGGTTTGGGGGCAGGGAGAGTGGGATTGAGAGGCAAGGTGGAGGGGCCGGGGTCGGGGGTAGCAGAGGCCTGGGAGCTCATGCCTCAAATCCTGTGTGACATTGCTAAGTTCTTTAACTTCTCTGTGCGTGACATTCCCACCTGTAAAATGGGGCAGTCCATAGTGCAGCCCTCATGGGGTTGTCCATGGTGCAGCCTTCATGGGGTTGTTGGGAAGATTACATAAATGCCTGGCACATACCAAGGACTCAAAAAATGATAGCTAATGTTATCATTAGAGTTTTCCAGGCTGGGCACAGTGGCTCGTGCCTGTAATCCCAGCACTTTGATAGGCTGAGGAGATCACTTGAGGCCAGGAGTTTGAGACCAGCCTGGCCAACATGGCAAAACCCCTCCTCTACTAAAAATACAAAAAAATTTGCATGGAGTGGTGGCTCAAGCCTTTAATCCCAACTACTCCGGTGGCAGAGGAATACGAATCACTTGAACCTGGGAGATGGAGGATAGCACCACTGCACTCCAGCCTGGGTGACAGAGCAAGACCCCATCTCAAAAAAATAATAGACCTGAAAGTACAGAAAAAAACAAATAAACTATAAAAAAACCAACAACAACAAAAACAGTAATAATAATTAGGACTTTCCCAAGAACAGATCTTTGCCTCCTGTTCTGGGACATACTCAGACCAGGGAGCTTAAGGGTATCATGAGCCCTGAGGGCATCAGATGGGCTGGGGTTGACTAGTTATTCCCCAGGCTGGTTCCAGGGATGGGTTGTGGTTAGAGGAGCAAGAAAGTGGACACTGAGGGGCCACCTTGGAGCAGTCCCGGGTTGTAAGGCCCAAGATGCAGCTTTCAGGGCGGGCCTCAGCCTGGAGCTCCAGGAGATGCCTGGAGCTCCAGGAGATGCCTGGAGTCCAGGAGCTGGAGGGGAGAGGAAGGCTGGGTAGGCGGTTCGGACCCCTCTCCCTGCTGACCTGCGCCTCCTGCAGCTGGCGCTGGAGCAGCGCTGCCGGGAACTGCGTGCACGGGGCCGGCGCCTGGAGGAGACACTGCCGCGGCGCATCGGCTCGGAGGAGCAGCGCGAGGTGCTCAGCCTGCTGTGCCGCGTGCATGAGCTGGAGGTGGAGAACACCGAGATACAGTCGCACGCGCTGCTCCGGGACGGCGCGCTCCGCCACCGCCGCGAAGCCGTGCGCCGCCTGGAGCAGCACCGCAGCCTCTGCGACGAGATCATCCAGGGCCAGCGGCAGATCATCGACGGTAGGAACGGTGCCCCGCGCATCTCAGTCACCCGCCGGGGGCCCGCGGGCACGCGCTGAGCCCTGCCACTCCCCCGGCAGACTACAACCTGGCCGTCCCACAGCGCCTGGAGGAGCTCTACGAAGTGTACCTGCGGGAGCTGGAGGAGGGCAGCCTGGAGCGGGCCACCATTATGGACCAACTGGCCTCCAGGGCCCTGCAGGTGGGTGGGCGCCTGGGCGGCCTGAACATGGGCACATGCGCGGGGGGGCGGCTGATGACCAAGGCAATGCCTGCAGGCAGCTGGAAGGGATAGGACCCGGCTGGCTGGCACTCTTCTTACCACTCCCAAAGCCTTGTCAAACCTAAGACCTCCATCCCTGGATACTCATCTTCGTCCTTTGTCCCCACTCAGGGTCTGAGGGTCAGGGCTGGCCATCTGAGTTATCACGAATGGCCCCAGGTGCCCTCCCAGGAGACCAAGCCATCAGGCAATGCCACTGGGGATGCCTAGCAGACCACATCTTACCTCTGAAGACCCAAACACAAGCCCACTGCTCTTCTGGGGCTCCCAGGCCATCTTACAGTCCTTGTCACCCTATAAGCCTTTGTTACTCTGTGCTAATCTGGGCCAGGACCAAATCTTCTAACTGTCCACCCTGGCTCCCTTCTCCCCAGGGCAGCTCCTTGCCCAAAATTACCCCAGCAGGAACCTCGCTGACCCCGGATTCTGACCTGGAGAGTGTGAAGACATTGAGCTCTGATGCCCAGCGCTTGCAGAACAGCACCCTCCCTCCCCTCAGCACAGAGAGGTGAGATGGGGGCCACCTGCCCCAGCCCCATCCTGTGCCCTGTTCCAGAGAGGCCAACCCAGACTAAGGCTAAGTGGGAAACAGGAGGCAGCAATGAGAGGGAGGAGGGGCCCAGAGCCGGAGCCAGGACTCCTGGGTTCTCTCTCCCTTCACACCAACAGCTTCTCCCCTGGGGTGGGTGTGGGACCTCGGTGAGAGAGCCTGGTCTACAGCCATTCGTCTTCCTCTGCCAACTTCAGTGAAGGCCACCACGTGTTCAAGACTGGTACTGGGGCCTGGCAGGCAAAAAGCTCCTCTGTGCCCACCCCACCTCCCATCCAGCTCGGCAGCCTGGTGACCCAGGAGGTGAGCTCTCAGTATCCCTGATGGCGCTACAAGATCCGCTGCTGGATGTGCGGGTGGACAGCAGCAGTTGGGATGGAGCCTTTCCCAAATGGCACCAGCCTGAAGCCCCGCTGTCTCTCCCAAGTGTGGCAGGAGGTCCCTGCTGTGGTCTAGAGTTTCCTCCTCCCAATCACTCCACCCCACAGGCCCCCGCTCAGGACTGCCTGGGCAGCTGGAGCAACTCTTCGCCCGACAGCAGCGAGAACCTATCAGAGATCCCCTTGTCCCGCAAAGGTGTGTGTGCCCTCTGCTGCCCCAACCACCCCACCTGGCCTTGTCTAAACTCTTCAGATCACCCAGCCCAGAGCCCTTTCCTGCCCTCTGCACTGCCAAGTGCATTGGGTGCTGCACATTCTGTAGAGTCAGCATTGCCCCTGAGGATGAGTCAGTCAAGGACACTTAGAGTGATGGGGGCAAAATCGGAAATCAGAAAAGAGACATGTGGCATGGAGAGCTGTGCCCTTCCTGCTCAGTAATCACTGTAATAGCAAATATTGATTCAGTCTCTACCCCCTGGATAATGTGGATTGAACCCATTTTCTCAGTCCTGGAAATAACCTGATGGCATTAGTCTTACCATCCCCCATTTACAGATGAAAGCGAGGCTCAGGAACCGGCCCAAGTTTCTTACATAGCAAACTCCTGACAGTGCTGGGTTTGAAACCCAGGCGGTCTGGCTCTTACCCATGTCTGCCCTGTCAGAGGAGGGTGTTGAGAGGTGGCCTTGACCTCAGGTTGTGTGTTTCTTGTGTCCCGCTGCAGAGAGGAAGGAGATCCTGACTGGCACAAAGTGCATCTCGGTGAAGGCTGCCCGGCGGCGCTCGCGGGCTCTGGGCACCAGGGGACGACACCTGCTGGCACCCGCGACAGAGCGCAGTAGCTTGTCCTTGCACTCTCTGAGTGAGGGTGACGATGGGCGGCCACCAGGCCCGCTGGCCTGCAAGCGTCCGCCAAGCCCCACGCTGCAGCACGCTGCCAGTGAGGACAACCTTTCCAGCAGCACAAGCGAGGCCCCATCCCGGGCTGTCGGGCATCATGGGGATGGCCCCGGGCCCTGGTTGCGTGGCCAGAAGAAAAGCCCGGGCAAGAAAAGGGAAGACTCACTGGAGGCAAAAAGAAGGAAGCGGAGGTCTCGATCCTTTGAGGTCACTGGGCAAGGAGTGAGTCAGGGCACAGGGATGGGTGTCTAGGCACCCCCATAGCAGCTGAGGGCCCAAAGGCTGGGTTTCTCCAGAGGCTCCAGGGCATCTCTGGCCTACACCACTACGAGAGGCACTACCCTCCACAGAGTCTGTCCCCAGCTGGTGTAGAAGCTGGGACAGATCCTGGTAGCAGATCCCTGTGCTGCTCTCCACCTCACCCCATTGTTCAACCATCACAGCTCTCCCGTCCCAAGACACACCTCCTGGAGCCCCATCAGGCAGAACGCACCTCAGACCACAGGATGCCAGCAGGCAGCCACCCAGCCCCTGGCCTCAGGCATCTTGGAAAGGTCACACTACCTTTGGCCAAAGTCAAACTCCCTCCAAGCCAGAACACGGGTCAGTATCAGCAAGAAGGGGAGGAGGAGGGGAGGCCTCCGCCAGCTCAGGGAGCAGAGAAGTTGCCCTCCCTGCTCCTCTGGGTGCCCCTTGCTGGAAGCGTGGTTCTAGCAGAATTCTCATGGGACTGGCATCTTGGGGTTGTGCCCCTAGAGTTCAAGGCCACTGGGTGATGGAGGAGGAGACGGGGAGGCGTTCCAAAACCACCCATCCTACCCCTTTCCCTGTTGCAGGCCCTGGGGACTCCTCACCCCTGGCTGCTCCCCCCAATCCAGCTGGTGGTTCTCGACGGGCTACCCGTGGACCTCGCCTGCCCCACAGCGCAAGCACCCATGGCAAAGATGGATGCTCCCGGCATAATTGAGGAGCCCTGCCTGGAACCGGCTCTCTTGCCCCCCAGACTGAATGGGGGCTAGCAGGAAATGGGAGGTGGAGGCTGGGTAGATGGGGATGGCCAGGAGGATGAGCATGAGCTCAGGATCTCAGCAGGCCGGGGCTTCTGAGACCCAGGAACTGGGGTGTCTGTCCAACCCTCCCATGCTTTCAGTGCCACCGGGGAAAAGAGGTGAGGCCAGGGGACATGGTCAGGAAGGCTGGGCTCCCTGGCCTCCTAGCCCTGGACAGAATGCTATTGCCAAAACCCAGCACAGACCTGAGGCCACCCTTGGCCTTGGAAATGGGGGAAAGCAGCTGGCAGTGAGACGGGGCTCCTGGCCCACGTCTGGTGCACGGGCATTCTGGATCGTTGGGGAGGTGCTGACAGGCACTTCACGTATGACAATTGGGGATGTGGGTGGGGAAGAAATCTGGTTTTGTTACTTGGCAGTGGCTTTTTCTACCCCTTCCTTTTTAACAATAAAATCCCTTTTGGGCCTTGATGGTTGTGTTGGAAACTCGACCTTGTCTGGAATATGGGGTGGTCACGACTCATTAAGATTGAACCAGCTGGGTGCTGTAATCCCAGCACTTCGGGAGGCCAAGGTAGGTGGATCACAAGGTCAGGAGGTCGAGACCATCCTGGCTAACACTGTGAAACACTAAAAATACAAAAAAGTAGCCGGGCATGGTGGCAGGTGCCTATCATTGCAGCTACTTAGGAGGCTGAGGCAAGAGAATCTCTTGAACCTGGGAGGTGGAGGTTGCAGTGAGCTGAGATCGCACCACTGTACTCCAGCCTGGGTGACAGGATGCCATCCCCTTCCTCCCAGTCCCCAACTCCCCCTGGCTCACTCACTGTGTAACACCACCCTACAAATAACCTGGGGGAGAGGGTTTTTTCTCTAGATCTTAAGGCCTCTCCCCAGGGTGAGGCTAGCAAGGTCCGTTATGCCCCATCCCACAGGCCTTCACACCTGCCCAGCCACCCTCCTAGGAGAGGTCAGGGTCTGGTGTGGTGCAGGTGCCAGAAAGCCTCACAACCCAGATGAGTAGGTTGGCCCTCGAGGTCAGGGCTCAGAAACTGCCCAGCTAAGTCCTTCAGCTTCAAGGTGAGGAAATTCCCGCAAGGGGAACGGGGTGCTCCTCGACTCCCAGGCAGGTGGGTTGCTGTGACCACGTGGATGTTTTTACCTGCCCTAGTTCTGTGTCTGGGCTGGGGAAAAGCCCAACAAAGGGCAAGGAGCCCCTAAACCCCCTGACTTGTGGGACTCCCCGGGTGGTTTTTACCCAGAAACTGAGTGGTTCAATCATCCCTTTACCACTCTGAGCATCGGTTTATTCGGGACAGAAAACATTCCTTTAAGTCAGCTGTGAAATCAGCTCTTGAAACCAGCCATCTTGCCTACCACACCTCACCTGGACGCCACTCCAGCCCTAAGGCAGCCGCACCTGGCCATCCAGGGGAGTAGCCTTGTTGTCACCTCCACGCTCGTCTCGCCCTTTCCAGACCCACAGGGACCACCTAAGCCAGGCCTTTATTCCCCGACCCCGAGGCTACTTGGGGATCCGGATAAGGGTATGGTACACAGGTTTGACAATGAGGTGCAGGTGCAGGGCGTTCTCCACCAGGTACTCCGAGTTGCGCCGCTGCAGGTCGGCGTGCGCCAGGAAGTCGCCAGCCTCCTCGCTGCTCTGGTGGAAGCTGTAGGCGTGGCGGACCACCAGGCGGCCCTGTTGGCGCGCCCCCACCAGCACGGTCTTCTGGAAGCTCACGCCCGCCGCGTCGCCGCCGCTGCTGGCCGGCGTCACCACCAGCCGCGGTCGGCCGTCCTCGGGGCGCGCGGCGGGCAGCGCTGTGCCCGCGGCGTCAGCGTAAACGGGGCGTAGGCTGACAGGCAGCCAGCGCGGCGAGAAGAGCACGTTCCAGGTGACCCGGCGGCCCGCGTCGTGGCCGCTCGGGCCCAGCTGCGTCTGGAAGCTGGTGCTGCGGTCGTCGCGGGCCGGGTTGTTGATGACCCACGGGGCGCCCCAGGCTGGCGCGAGGTAGTTGCGGGGTAGGAAGGCGCTGCCATTGACGTCGAAGAACTTGGCGTAGTGCAGCGGCGACGCGGCGTGGAACTGGTAGGCCTGCAGCAGGAGGTCGGCCACCGCGGGGCCGTGGCGCGCCAGGGCGGCCGAGCGCGCTTGCAGCTGGAACAGCTGTGCCGGGGGGATCATCGGGTAGCGGATGGCGCGCAGCGCTCGCTCGGCCACTGCAGGGGGCGGCCGTGCGCGCCCCAGCCAGGCCTCCAGCGCGTGGAACAGCTCCAGCTCGTCCTGCAGCACCAGGTCCGAGCGCTGCAGGAGCTGCCACAGCAGCTCGGGGCTCACGGCGCCCCACTCGGCGCTGGCCGCCACGGCCGACAGGTTCCAGGCGAGGAACTGCAGGCAGCTCTCTCGCAGGGCCTCGTCCCCGGTGCCCACGGCGTAGTGGTACCAGCCCACCGCCGGGCCCACGCCGCCCGCCAGGTGCGCGCGCATGTAGTCGGCCACGCCGCGCTGTAGGGAGGCCACGCCGTACTTGGTGGCCAGCCGGTGCAGGGGGATGGCCTGGGCCAGCAGCACGGTCAGCTCCCCGCAGTACAGGTACCTGCCGGAGAGACAGAGAGGTGGGGCGGGGTCAGGGCGGCACCCACCTCCCAGTACAGTTTTTTGTGAGTCCACAGGGAACCCGGCCTGGAGTTGGAGCTTCATGGTCCGGGTGCAAACACAGTGGAAGCCCCGCCCTGAGGCTTCCCGTGTTCTCCTTTCAAGGGCCCTTCCAGGCCATTCTTAGTTCACAGGCTCTTCTTTCCGTTTCTGCGGTGATGGAGGAATTGCCGCATTGATTGTGCCTCTACTAGGCGAGCAGCTCTAGACTGGAACAAAAGGGACGCGGCTCCTGCCACTGGGGCTTACAGTCTGGACGGGATCCACGACCTGCCTCCTCCTTGCTGAGAATGTGGGCAAGCCACTTAACTTCAATGGCCCTTAGGCTAATCAATCGTCTAGGAAACAGGGGAGTGGCACACACCCCTCAGGGTCATTGTGACAACCGGAGGAGAATAAAGAATCTTGCTACAGGCCAGGTGGGAGTCAGTGGCTCACACCTGGAATCCCAGCACTTTGGACAGCCAAGATGGGAGGATTGCTTGAGGCTAGGAGTTCAAGACCAGCTTGGGCAACATAGCAAGACCCTATCTCTACCAAAAAAAAAAAATGTTAAAACATTAGTTATTCGTGGTGGTGCATACTTGTAGTCCCAGCTGCTTGGGAGACTGAGGTGGGAAGATAGCTTCAGCCCAGGAGTTCAAGGCTGCGGTGAGCTATGATCATCACGCTACTAAACTCCAGTCTTTTTTTTTTTTTTTTTTTTTTTTTTTTTTTGGGATGAGGTCTCCCTGTGTTGTCCACATTGGTATCAAACTCCTGGACTTGAGCAGTCCTCCCACCTTGGCCTCCCAAAGTGCTGGGATTACAGGTGTCTGCCCCGTTTCTTTTTTGCGGCCTCACCTTTCCTTTTCCTCTCCCTCTGTTGATCATCACTTTTGGGGACCATCTCTCCCTCTCACTTCATCTGCCGCTGTCCCCCTGCTTACTCCTCCTGGGTCAGTCCCCACTGGCACACGGCACTGCACTTGCCTTTATGGGAGCGTGGCAGCCACTGCCAGCCATCTTCCCCAGCATCCATTTCTCCCCTTTCTCCTGCGTGATTGCCTCTGGGAATTAAAGACTACATTTCCCAGGCTCCCTGATACTGGGCATGGTCATGTGACTAACTTCTGGTCCATGGGCACAGTATGGGGATTTGTGGGAAGGCTGGTTAAATGCAACTGATTCAGGGGAACAGGAAGACCCTTTGTGCCTTTCTGTTTTATCCCTGTTCCTGTTGCCTGGAACTTGGAAGCAATGTCTGGAACTCTGCAGCCATCTCGTCTGAGCCGTTAGAACAGAGTCACTTTCTTAGACACTAGTGTGAATGGCATGCCCTGTGCAACACCCTGGCAGGAGGCAGGAAGTGGAGAGAGAGGCTAACTTTTCAGCTCCCTAGCCCTGTGGTTCCAAACTCGGCCAAACGCCAAAAACATAGGGATGCTTTAAAATAAAATAAAAGTTCCTCTATAATGGAACACTTAGGAAACAAAAAGTTAATAAATGAAATACAATAAAAAATGATAGCTGACCCTAACCCTATGCCTGAAACTGACAATGCAGGTTGGGGCCCATGAAACTGTAGTTTTTTCATTTTTGCTTGTTTTGTTTTTAAGACAGAGTCTTGTTCTGTCGCCCGAAGTGCAGTGGCATAATCTCAGCTCACTGCAAACTCTGCCTGTGCGATTCAAGCGATTCTCCTGCCTTAGCCTCCCAAATAGCTGGGATTACAGTCGAGCGCTGCCATACCCAGCTAATTTCCTATATTTTTAGCAGAGACTGGGTTTCACTATGTTGACCAGGCTGGTGGTCTCGAACTCCTGACCTCAGTGATCTGCCCGCCTTGGCCTCCCAAAATGCTGGGATTGCAAGTGTGAGCCACGCACGGTGCCTGGCCCCAAAACGCTAATTTTGTATTTTTAGTAGAGACGGGGTTTCTCCATGTTGGTCAGGCTGGTCTTGAACTCCCGACCTCAGGTGATCTGGCCCTCAGCCTCCGAAAGTGCTGGGATTACAGGTGTGAGCCACCATGCCCAGCCCCATAACTGTAGTTTTACAAAACTCTCCCATGGCCATGTTTGGAAACAGCTCTGAGGGGGTTACCAGGAATCGGAAGAGACATCAAACTTCACAGATGACGTGGGCAAAGACAGGGAGCTGGGTGGTGGAAGAAGGGATGCAGGGGGCACTGTCATCCCAGTGATGTCCAGGGAAATAGACCTCACAAGCTCTAAGGGCCTGGGCTTCCTCGACCCTGTAGTTGGAGGCTCTGGGGGCTGAGGGAGGGATGAAGCCTCCCCCTGGTCTTCCCCATCCCCACCTGATGAACTTGTCGAAGACAGCGGCACAGTCCCTTGGCTCCTGCAATGCTGCCTCACTCTGGTTACTCAGCAGCTCCCGGAACAGCTCGCTGTGCAGGCCCAGCAGCAGGCGGTGGGCATGGAAGACCCGGACCTCATCGGTGCCCGCCGCCTGCACCCGCAGAACCACGTCGCTGGCATTGCCCTGTCGCAGCAGCTCCTGCAAGCGCTGGAGCACCACCTGGGAGTGGTTGATGGAGGTGCCAGCTGCCTCCCCGCCAACATCGGCTCTCTGTGCTGCAGCAGGAAGGAATGCAGCTGCCTGAGAAGGCACCCAGGTCCAAGGCCTCAGTCGGGGGTGCAGAGGGACCAGCCAGAGACACAGGCATGGATGTGAGCAGAGGGCAAGGTGGGCCTAGGCAGGCTGTGTGTGCACACCATGCCCATAAGGGGCATGGATGCATCTGTGCACATACAAACACATCCCGGGTGGGAGGGTCGTGCCAATGCAAACCCCAAGAGGATGCTCTTGGAAGGGGTGATTCAGGCAGGGAGAGGTTGTGCTCAGGTTTGGGACACCACACCCGGAACTCATCTGCATGCTGCCACACCCCCAGGCAAGGGTTGAGGAAACTCATGATCCCACCTTTCTTACCTCCTAAAGAATTGTCCGTCTAATCCCTTGGAGCAGTAGTCAGAAGTGGTGCATTCACTAACAAATATTTATTGAGCACTTATTATATGCTAGACATTCTCCTAGGAGCTTGGGATGTGGCAGTGGACAGAGCAAGCCAAGTTCTTATGCTCATAAAAGCAAAATGGACATATCAGACAGGTGAGGTGCACACGATAAGCATGCCAGCTTTAAACGGGCCAGCCGGGGACCAGTGTCAAGGCGAGGATCCAGCCCTGCGAAGGCCCTCCAAGGGAATGGGCTTGGTGTACTAGGAGCAGAGAGAGGGTTAGGGAGGCCAGAGCAGTGGCAGGAGAGGGGGGCGGGTGTGAGCCGAGGCTGCAGGTGTGGGAGGGAAGCTGTTTTCCAGGCCCAGCCCCATCCTCTTGGGTCCTGATTTGAGACAGAAGCCCACTTTCTGTGGGTGGCCATCAGGGGACAGGAGAAAGTGCAGAGGGCCAGCTGGTGCTGGAATGGGACTCCCTGGGTAACGGAGCATCGATGCTGCCCGGGCCGGCCCTTCTTTCATGCTCCAGGGGGTGCCTTGACAGTCAGATGGGGACGTGCACTCAGTTACAGAGACTGTCAGCAGCTTTCCCAAGCTGAGAACAATGAGGGGAGCCTTGCAGAGCAAAGCAAGCCGGGGCCTGATAGCAGCAGAGGGGCCGGGCCACAGGAGCACGCACAGCACACACAGGCCCGTGGTACACACGGGAGAGACTGCTCACACAGGAGCAGAGCCATCTGTGCATGAGAGATGGGGGCCAATGGAGAAAGGGAGGGTGAGAGAGAAGTAGGTGGTGCATTTCCCAGCCCTGCCTCCCCTGGCTGTCACTCTGAAGGACCTGAATGCTGATGGCGTCCCTATTCAGCCTCTGCCCAAGACAATGGGCAATGGAGGGTCCTCCTTTCCTTAAGACCCCTGCCCACCTGCCTTCCCGGCCCCTCCTTCCTTCAGAGACAAGTCCGTGGAGCTGTCCGGTCCACCCGGGCTCTCCCAGCAACTGGACACCGCCCCCTCCCGGCCGGCCGCATGCAGCAGGTGCTGGGCGTCCAGCCGCTCCACCCTGCCCGCACCTGGCCCACTGTGAGCTCACCTGCACGAGTGACCAGGCCCACCAAGGTCAGCATGGCCCAGAAGCTGCCCCAGGACCCAGGCTTGGAGTAGCCTATCCTAGGCATCTTTGTGCTCCGCCCCCAAGTCCACTGGAGGGACGGCAGAGCCCAGACCACTCCGCTCACATTCATCTTCCTTATATAGGATCCAGCACAAGGGGACGGCACCCTCTTCCTGCCTGGCCTCCCTCCCCCAACTCAGCCTCCTCCATGGATTGGTGGAAACTGGCCCCAGCTGTTGCCCAGGCAACCACTTAAGCCAGAGAGTGGCAGCCCCAGGGGCTATTGTGCTGCCCGTGGGCCCCCAAGGGGAACAGATCCGGAGCCGTCCTCCCCCAGTCTTCTTACCACCCAGCAGGGCTAGCTGTGCTTCTCCCTGGAAAGTTTTGGGCTCTCTGAAGAATAGGCGAGGGGCTCCAGGGCCACTGGCAGCCACTGGCCCTAGGGTCCCCAGCTCCCTCCCCCAACCCCAGGCCTTGGCCCTGGCACGGAGCGCACTTGGCAGCCCCGTGGCTGGAGCGCCATGGTGAGCCGGCTGCAAAGGAAGGGCCTGGAAGAGAGAGGAGAGGCCGATGAGGCTCCCACCCCTCCCCCACTCCCATGTTGGGGGGGTGGCTCCTCAGAGAGAAGCTCAGGAGTCTCCCAAATAGGGGCCCATAGGTAACTGGTGTCAGTTTCGTATTCTTTGGTGTGCTGTGGGAGGGCCAGCAGGAAAGCTCTGTGGGGACTGTGACTGTCACCTACCCCAGGGGCAAGCAGAGCCACAGTGGCAGGGCTGGGCATAGAGCAGATGCACCCTGCCCCGTGCATCACTGCATGGGTGACTCCTACCCAGAGTGGGGCTGGCCACCCTCCAGTTCTGAGCTCCATCCAGCCCAAGGGTGCTTGCTGTCTGCCCCGCTACTTCCTGGCTTGAATTCTTCTTCTCCAGGTGGCCTCAGGTCTCTGGGTTGACCTCCTTGGAAGGCTTCTTTTACCAGCTTCTGTCTAATTTCCAACTGTAACTTTTCCTTTCCCAGAGTTCCAAGGAGGCATGCCGAAGACCTGCTGTCTCACTCCCATGTAGGGAAACTGAGGCAGGGGCCTAGGTTGTAATCTCAGTTGGGTTAGTGCAGAGGAGTGCTGTTCTGAAAACCAAGGCAAGAGAGAGAGGAAAGTGAGGTCTGGAGCTCAGCGGAAGTGTGTGTGTGTGTGTGTGTGTGTGTGTGTGTGTGTGTGTGTGTGTAGGGTGGCATGCTGTTGAGTCCTCCCCTTTGCAGGGAGCCAGCAGGGTCTACCCCAGCTCTTCATGGGAGGGACTCCTTTGAGCTTGACTAACTGAAGTGGGTGGCTCCCAAGGGCTCTGACTCCGAGGCAAGGCTCTGGGTTGGGGGTGAATTGAATCTTCCTCTCCCTGGCTCTCTGGATCCCAGGGACCAGCTCGATGCATTGATTTCTGCCTCTGGCTGGCACAGAGAGACTCAACAGCTCCACCTCCTCTCTGGAGCTGCAGAGAGAGCAGGAACTGGGTCTGGCATCTGCTTCGTCCGGGCTGGCAGAGTTGGAGCTCTCTCCAGCCCAGCGGAAACCCCTCCGGCTGCCCTGACTGTCATGCCTGGCTCCCCTTGTCCAAGTCCACGATCCCTTGCCCACTGGCTGCCCGCCTGCCCTTCCCATGGGCTGTGCCATGTCCTGGCTCAACCCAGCGAGTCCAAGTCTCCAGGTAGGAGACTGCCTGGGCCCTGAGGGCCTCCCAGCTTCCAAGCACGGTGCCTTCAACAGGAATGCTATTGATAAGAGAACCCACTACTCAGAAAACTCGCTCGAAGACTGTGTTGTTCAACGTTTGTGCCTCTCAACTCCAGCCTCCCTGAGCCTCTGCATGCCTCATTCTTTGTTTTGTTTTCTTTTGTTTTTCTAGAGGCAGAGTCTCTCAGCCATCAAGGCTGGAGTGCAGTGACACGATCATAGCTCACGGCAGCATCAAGCTCCTAGGCCCAAGTGATCTTCCTGCCTCAGACTCCCAAGAAGCTGGGACACAGGCAGTGCCACCATGCCCAGCTAATTTTGTATCAGTCATTTTTGAAGGGTGCCACCTAGATTAGAATCTCCCGTGCTTCACCGAGGAACCAGAATTTTCAGGGGCAGGGTGTGGCTGGCTGTATGTACTCCCAGACGATTGTTATAAGCACCCCAAACAGGCTCTACCTACTAGAGTTAGATTGGTGGCATTTCAAGTGTGAAGGAAGCTGGGAGGCCTTGGATCATCAAAAAGACCCAGGAGAGTCACCTCTGACTCCCCATCTCCGAGAGGCCCCACCTCCCATTATTTCTAACCTCCCTTATCCCTGGCCTTCCTTGAATGATTTAGAAACTGGCTGTCCACATAGAGTCATTCTCTGTTGTCATTTTCTTAGTCTGAGCATTGCTGGAGAAAGAGAGAGAGAGAGAGAAAGAGAGAGAGAGACAGTGTGTGTGGGGGGGGTATGCATGTGCACACATGTGAATGCAATGTGTGTGTGCATATTTACGTGTATGTTGTGTGTGTGCATATTTGTGGATACGCGTGTGTGTGGTACGTGCCTTCATGTGGTGTGTGTACATGCATGTGTTTGTGTGGGGAGTGTCCTGCAGAGGGGAGAGAGAAAGCCGGATATTCACCCCCGAGACGTCTTTTTTTTTTTTTTGGAGGGGGGATGGAGCCTCATTCTGTTGCCCAGGCTGATGTGCAGTGGCACAATCTCGGCTCACCACAACCTCCGCCTTCTGGGTTCAAGCAGTTCTCCTGCCTCAGCCTCCTGTGTAGCTGGGATTACAGGTGTGCACCACTATACCCAGCTAATTTTTGTATTTTTAGTAAAGATGGGGTTTCACCATGTTGGCCAGGCTGATCTCGAACTCCTGACCTCAAGTGATCCTCCTGCCTCGGCTTCCCAAAGTGCTGAGATTACAGACGTGGGCCACTGTGCTTGGCCAAGTCTTTGAGAGGAAGGATCTGCAGCACGGCATTCTTTTTGTTTTTTTTTTTTTAGCTCTGTGGATCTGGGAGCTCCATAATTCCTCAAAGGCAAGTCTGATTAGTTCACAAGCCAGCACCACCCTAGAGAGGAGTGTTAGTCCCGCCGCAGACGGGGATGTTTGTAGCCTAAGCCATGTGTCTGAGGCCTTGTGGCCAGGAACCGCAGAGGCAGGATTTATTTTTCAAGTTCTGAATTCCGCTTGACTTTTCTTTTTTCTGACTTGGGGTCTCACTCTTTCGCCCAGGCTGGAGTGTGGTGGCACTTTCATAGCTCACTGCAGCCTCAAATTCCTGGGCTCAAGCAATCCTCCAGCCTTAGCCTCCCAAGCAGCTGGGACCACAGGTGTGAACCCCTGCACCTGGCTACTTGACTTTTCTTTCCACAACCCCAAGCTGTCTTTTTGGGAAGGTTTTTCAGTTGTGACAAATGATCCCTTTGGATGAGGACTCTCTTGTACTGTAAAAGCAACAGAAAACTCTTACAAGCTTGGGGCCAGATTAAGAGTTTCTGAATCAGCAAAGGAAGTGCTGAGACATTGGACTGTGATAACCCCTCAGAGGGGTGGGCTCCAGGTGCCTGCAGCCCAGCCTCTACCTGGCACCCTCCCTTGCATCCCTAGTGCCTCCTGCTCTCACTTAGGATTCCATGAGTCACTGGGCCACTTGGATTGGGGACAGGGAATCATGGCTTTAAGTTCCATGCACTGCATATTCAGGGGAGCACATAAAGGTAAATAAGAGGCTGGGTGTGGTGGCTCATACCTGTAATCCCAGCACTTTGGGAAGCCGAGGTGGTGAATCACTTGAGGTCAGGAGTTTGAGCTCAGCCTGGGCAACATGATGAAACCCCCATCTCTACTAACAATACAAAAATTAGTCAGGTGTGGTGGCAGGTGACTGTAATCCCACCTACTTGGGAGGCTGAGGCAGGAAAATTGCTTGAACCTGGAAAGTGGAGGTTGCAGTGAGCTGAGATTGCACCCCTGCGCTCCAGCCTAGGCAACAGAGCGAGACTCTGTCTCAAAAAAAAACAAACAAACAGAAAAGTAAAGAAGAAGGAATCTTTGGCCAGGCACTGTGGCTCACACCTGCAATCCCAGCACTTTGGGAGGTCAAGGCAGGAGGATTGCATGAGCCCAGGAGTTCGAGACCAGCCTGGGCAACATGGTGAAATGCTGTCTCTAAAAAAAAATACAAAAATTAGCTGGGTGTGGTGGCACACACCCGTAGTCCCCGCTACTCAGGAGGCTGAGAAGGGAGGATCACTTGAGCCTGGGAGTTTGAGGCTACAGTGAGCTATGATTACACCACTGCACCACAGCCTGGGTGACTGTGAGACAGTCTCATACCAAAAATGAAAGAAGGAATCTTCCCCTCCTAGCTGGCCAGCCACAGGTGACCCTTCTGCCCACACCCAGCAGCAGCAGGCTGAGCCAGGAGTTTGAAAAACACTGGTCAGAGATCCCAGAGAGGTCCCCGTGTGTGGCTGGTGTCATCCCTGTCATCTTTCCCTGAAGTGACTCACACCCTGCAGGATGCTCCCCCTGAAGCCAGGCTGTCCCAGCACCGGCACCTCCACTGTCCTGATCAGCACCCTCAGTCACACTCTTCCCCATCTGAGTGTCATCCATCTGACCCTGGCTGCCATCTCCCCGAAAACTGAGCTTACAGGAGCCTCTCCCTCTGTAGCAGGGAGTGCAAAGTGAACAGCTCCAAGGAAGAAACGAGCCTGAGTTCAAATTCCAGTGCCACACACAGCTCTGTGACCTTAGCCAAGCTGCTTACCTTCTCTGATCCTGGGTCTCCTCTTGTGTGAAATGAAGGGAACTAGAGTTTTCTTGTAGAGCAGCTATGAGGATGAGAAGTGTGGGGACGGGGAAATGGAATGACCCACCTGCTGCTCATGCTTGGTAGCTGTGGCTGAACTGAACATGGCTGAAGACTTGAGACCAAAAGGCCCAGATGTGCGGCTGTGTCTTCAGAAAATCTTTCATCTGGCCCAGGCTGGCTCAGAGGTGTCAGCCTTAGCAGATAGAATCCCTTCCACCGTGGGCTAGCAGCCTACCCTGGCCACTGATACCACACCATGTAGGAAAGAATCACCACCATTAAGAAGGGCGCCTCTTGGCCAGGCATGGTGGTTCATGCCTGTAATCCTAGTACTTTGGGAGGCTGAGGTGGGCGGATCACCTGAGGTCAGGAGTTTGAGACCAGCCTGATCAACATAGCGAAACCCCATCTCTACCAAAAATACAAAATTAGCCGGGCATGATGGCACATGCCTGTAATCCCAGCTACTTGGGAGGCTGAAGCAGGAGAAGCGCTTGAACTCAGGAGGCAGAGGTTGCAGTGAGCCAAGATTGCGCCACTGTACAGGGTGTGTGCTGGCTGATGAAGTGGCCGGCTGCTGCTGCCACTGAGCTGAACATTTCCAGCCTTCACCTCTTGAACCAGGGATCCCAACGTCATTGGCGATGATCATTATGACGTTGCCCGTGGGTGCAAAAGAGCCAGCAGGACCACACTGCCCTGCAGGGCATCACTGCTGTCCTGGGTGTGGAAACATGTACTGAGGAAGACAAATCCATGGTGTCCCATGCGCAGAAAAGCCAGCACACTTGCCTCAGCCATTCCAGGGGTCACACGGGGCAGCTGGGACCTCCGAAGAAGAACATCCAGGGACTCCAGCAGTTTCTGCCAGATGGATCCAGCTGTCTCCCAGAACAGGCCTTCCATGGGGTGGGATTCTAAGCTGCTGGAAGGACATGCATGGGACATCACGTTAGCAAACGTAGCCCCCCTCCTCCATCTCTCCCTCTCCTCGCTCTGAATCCAGGGAGCTCTAGTTTCCTGCGTAGCCTGTGCGAGAGCCTTGGCTGAAACCATTGCACTCTGCTTGAAGAATATGTAAGGTTTCCAATCAAATGTACATCCCTCAGAAAAACAGTCAGCTGGGCATGGTGGCTCACACCTGTAATCCCAGCACTTTGGGAGGCCAAGGCACAAGGGCTACTTGAAACCTGGGGTTCCAGACTAGCCTCGGCAACACAATGAGACCCCAACTCTCTCTATATCTATATATAAAATAAAAATTTAAAACACAGTATAGGGACAGGGTAGGCACTCGATAAATGTTGGCAGGACCCCTCCTTGTCCCCCCTCATCCGTGGCAGCTCCTTAAAGAGAGGTCCTGCCTCCTCTCACCCCTAGTCTCCTGCTGCAAGGAGGTGGTGGCCTGGGGTATCATCTGTGCTACTTGCCCTTTCTGGGGCTGGGGTCCCAGCTCGCCACCAGAGGACCTGTCCTGAGCAGGCAGCCCCCTCTCCAGTGTCACTGTGCCACCCAGGGCGCCTGGCCAAACCATGGGGCTTTCAGGCTTGCAGGGTCAGGATGTGGCCACCAGGGGGAAGCAGGGCGTCAGCTGTGAGTATCCCAGTGGGCCTTGGCGTCCTGAGTTCCAGGCTTACAGGTGGGATCTAACTCCCCGAGCCGGGAAGCTCCCTATATTCCCTGCCATATTTTCTGCCGCATCCCCAGAGAACAGGCCGTGGGAGACCATTCCAGGGGGCCTGAGCCCTGAGCTGTCCACCGGGCATCCATGTCCCGGTTCCCACTTGTGGGCTGCTCTGACCACTCCTTCCCTAGGGCAGGGGAGCCATTCCCGCCTCTTCTGAGTGCTTGATGGCACTGGCTGGTGTTTATTTGCCAGGGATCGATATTCTTGAAGGATGGTCCATTTCACCAGGACCAGGAAAACAACAGCTTGTGGGGCCACAGTTTCCCAGCACCCGCTGCTGGCAGCCTGGTCTGGCTGCTCCCAGAGGCAGCCTCCACCTCCCCCACATGGCCGCTGCAGGACTGACCCCTGTGCACCTGGCCCCCTAGGCCTCTTGGGATCATAGCCCTGTCTTCGGCAGCCTCACCCCTCCTACCTGGCACCATGCCCCTAACTCCTCACAGGGTGTCGTTCTCTTCCCTGACAGTATGAATGCCTCTCAGTCTGGATGCTCATAGAGTCAAGACCCTGAGTCCTTCTGCCAGTCCCCAAAGTCCTCAGCCCAGGGTGTGATCCCAGCTGAGCCCAAGCCAGCTCACTGAGTGCCCTGAGGTGGGAGGCAGCCCCCCAGAACCCCCATCCTCCCATCCTGCTCCCCCAGGCATAGACAGACCTGTGAACCCCATGCCACCCTCAGCCCAACTCTTCTGAAGCTGAAGCCTCCCGCCCAGCCTGACCCCTTCCCCTTCCCCTGCCTCTGCGCCTTAGGGGACCCCAGTTTGCTCCATAAGCATCTCCTCTAGCTCCTTTCCCTGCCCACCGATTCCTTCCTTCTCCTCCCCTCGCCCCGCCCCCTACACTAACAGGCTCAGTGTCTCCGGAAGGACCATGGAGCAAACAACCCTTAGAGAGCGGAGGGGTGAGGGGTGCAGCTGACAGGGAGCTGCGGGGACCCCCCAGGAGAAGCCACAGGTGACCCAGGACTCAGGGCCCCGGAGCATGGGGCTTATAGGACAACACACAGGTAAGGCATCCTGAAATGGGGTGAGCTGGGAGGCAATAAGGTGGAAAGGCGGAGGGAGCAGGAGGCGGGTTAGGGACCTAGAGGGTGGAGAGGGGAGGCTGAAGCTGACAGTGAATGAGCAGTGAGACCCCGGCTTCAGCAGGAAACGAGTAGCTGCAGTTCACCCTGAAAGACATGTGCAGTGTGGTTTCAGGGGAACAGGGGCCGGAGCCTGCGGACTGCGCTCATCCTAGACCAGCCACCTTAGCCCTGTGGACTCAGTTTTCCCATCTGCAGACCTGGGCCATTCCAGCTTCAGTGGTGCTCGCCTCTGAAGAGGGTCTCTTTAGCTTAGAAAAGAGGGGCCCTAGCAACAGTCTCCTTAGAGAGGGCAGCTGTTGAGTGGAGCTGTGCAGCCCTGGGGCCTCCACTGTGGATCTCCCAGATAGGTCCCGGTGCGTGGCTGGCATCACCTGGGTCAGAATTGCCAGGATGCTGATTACAAGCTACTGCAGCCTGATTCAGACCCTCCAGCTCAGCCCGCCTGGAGGAGGCCCAGGAGCCTGCGTCTCCACAAGAGCCCCATGACCCTGTTTCAGAGCCCCTGCTCTGCATGCAGGGTGAGGACCCATTGGGGGGCAGTGGTCTCTGTGGCAGCAGGCTGTGCTACCAGGGACTTCCCATCAATGCAGGACCCGGCCACTGAGGGAGTGGGGTGAGGTGGGGTGGGGGTGAGGGTGAGAGTGGTCTTAGCAAGAATTCTCACAGCAACAGACATTGTACTTGGCTGGGTCTGACTAAAGGGTCTGCACAGAGCAGGGTGACTAGAAAGACCCCAGGTCAAGGCAGGGCTGCTGCCCAGCCAGGTTAGAAATAGACCAGAGGCAGAGACCCTCTCTTGGGCAACCCACTCTCTCAGCATAAGGAAGCCTTTCCCCTCATTCTGCTTTTTGTGTCTATTAAACTTTCTGCTCCTAAAAAAAAAAAAGAAAAAGAAAGAAAGAAAAAAGAAAAGAAAAACAAATGGACTGGAGGCTCTGACTCTCCCCATCCTCCCCTCCTAGCCGGCCAGCCATGGGTCACCCTGCTGCCCACACCCAATGGCAGTGGGCTGAGCCAGGAGTTTGAAAGCCGCTGGCCAGAGATCCCAGAGAGGTCCCCATGTGTGGCTGGTGTCATCCCTGTCATCTACTACAGTGTCCTGCTGGGGCTGGGGCTGCCTGGTGAGTGGGGAGCTGGGGTCTGGGGACTTGGGCTTGGCCAGAAATGGGGATACTTCTTCAGTGGGTGCCAGTCCTCTGTGCTGACCCTTGAGGCCCTGGATTGTAAACCCCTGGTCTTTCCTTGCCATGAGGGTGTTCTGGGTCACTGGAGGGGAATAAAAGTGAGGCACTAGGATCGGGGGTGCTCACAGCTAAACCCAAGTCTTCCCCAGCACTGAGCACTCTCCTAGGTAATGAAATTCACATAGGAACTGACTCAGCTCCATACACAGCTCCCTGCACTGCCCATGCCTTCAGAGAGCAGAGCCTGGGGCGGAGGTAGGTATGTGGATACCAGGAGGATGGGTGGCCTCAGCCCTGGGGGTTTCCCCAAGTCAGATAGCTAAACCCATGTGCCTGTACCCAGGGATGCCTCCATTCTGGAGGAAACAGAAAACCTAAAAAGGACTTGAAGGGCAATGACATAGGACAGGTGGCTTCTTTTTTTTGAGATGGAGTCTCACTCTGTCACCCAGGCTGGAGTGCAGTGGCGTGATCTCTGCTCACTGCAGCCTCCACTTCCCAGGTTCAAGTGATTCCCCTGCCTCAACCTCCTGAGTAGCTGGGAATACAGGTGTGTGCCACCACACCCAGCTAATTTTCATATTTTTTAATAGAGATGAGGCTTCACCATGTTGGCCAGGCTGGTCTCGAACTCCTGACCTCAGGTGATCCACCTGCCTTGGCTTCCCAAAGTGCTGGAATTACAGGTGTGAGCCACCACACGCAGCCAGGACAGGTGGCTTCCGTGGACACCCTGCCATGTGTACTTACCTGTGTGTAATGGGAGCAGCCAGTGGCCTGCAGTGGATGGACAGGGCACAGCTGGTGTGGATTGCCTCATGGGCAAAGTGGGGTTTCAGAAGGATCTGGAAGGAGGAAAAGGAAAAGCCAGCACAGCTTCCACACACGAAGGTGGGGAGGGGCAACAGTGACACATTGGAAAGCAGTCGGAGCTCTCTTCTGATGCCTGTGTCTCTCCCCTCCCTGACCTCGGCTGCCATCAGTCAGCCTTTTGACCGCAGTGGCCCTGGCCCGCCTTGCCACCAGGACCAGGAAGCCCTCCTACTACTACCTTCTGGCACTCACGGCCTCAGATATCATCACCCAGGTGGTCATCGTGTTCGCAGGCTTTCTCCTGCAGGGAGCCGTGCTGGCCCGCCAGGTGCCCCAGGCCGTGGTGCGCACAGCCAACATCCTGGAGTTTGCTGCCAACCACGCCTCGGTCTGGATCGCCATCCTGCTCACGGTGGACCGCTACAGCGCCCTGTGCCACCCTTTGCACCACCGCGCCACCTCGTCCCCAGGCCGGACCCGCCGGGCCATTGCTGCTGTCCTCAGTGCTGCCCTGTTGACGGGCATCCCCTTCTTCTGGTGGCTGGATGTGTGGAGAGAGGCTGACCCACCCAGCACGATGGATGAGGTCCTCAAGTGGGGTCACTGCCTCACTGTCTATTTCATCCCCTGTGGCGTGTTCCTGGTCACCAACTCAGCCATCATCCACCAGCTACGGAGGAGGGGCCAACCGCGGGTAGGCAAGAGCACAGCCATCCTCCTGGGCGTCACCACGCTGTTCACCCTCCTGTGGGCGCCCCGGGTCTTCGTCATGCTCTACCACATGTACGTGGCCCCTGTCCACCGGGACTGGAGGGTCCACCTGGCCTTGGACGTGGCCAACATGGTGGCCATGCTCAACACAGCAGTCAACTTTGGCCTCTACTGCTTTGTCAGCAAGACTTTCCGGGCCACTGTCCGACAGGTCATCCACGACGTCTACCTGCCATGCACTTTGGCGTCACAGCCCGCGGGCATGGCAGTGAAGCCTGTGATGGAGCCTCCAGGACTCCCCAAAGGGGCAGAAGTGTAGAGGAGGGGGCCCAGCTGGGGAGCTCAGGGTGGTTCATAGCCACATGCACTGGGGCCTTTGAAGTTGTGCCCAAAAAATGTTTATCGACACTGCTTTCCTTGGGTGGGGGTGGAGGCCCCTCCTTTGGGTGTAGCTCCCAGGTAGAGAGGAGGACAACTTAGCCAACTGTTACATTTGCTTCATCAGTGATCCCTATTCCCTGGGAAGATGAAAGGGCTCTGCCAGGCATAGGTTAATAGCATCAGTGCTGTGGGCATTCCTTTGCAAAGGGCATTTTGCCTAGCTTATCATGAATGCTAGATTAATGTTGGTTGAATGGATAGAAAAATGGACAGATGGATGGATGGACAGACATATGGACTGACAGACAGACTGATAGATGTTAGAGTGGATAGATGGATGGATGGATGACGGATGGACAGACAGATAGATGGACGGATGGATGGACAGATCGATGGATTGACAGATTGATGGATTGACAGACAGACTGATGGATGTTACAGTGGATAGACGGATGGATGGGCAGACAGATGGACAGATGAATGGATGTATTGATGGATGGACAGATGGACGAATGCATGGATGGATGGATGGATGGATGGACAGATGGGTAGATGGACAGATGCATGGATGGATGGATGGATGGATGGATGGATGGATGGACAGATGGATAGATGGATGGACACATGGATGGATGGATGGATGGATGGATGGATGGATGGATGGATGCATGGATGGATGGATGGACGGATGGATGGATAGATGGATGGACGGATGGACGGACGAATGGACGGATAGACGCATGGATGGATGGATGGACGGATGGATGGATACATGGATGGATGGATGGATGGATGGACAGATGGGTAGATGGATGGACGCATGGATGGATGGATGGACAGATGGACGGATGCATGGACGGATGGATGGATGGACAGATGGATAGATGGACAGATGCATGGATGGATAGATGGATGGATGGATGGACAGATGGATAGATGGATGGACACATGGATGGATGGATGGATGGATGGATGGATGGATGGATGGATGGATGGATGCATGGATGCATGGATGGATGGATGGACGGATGGATGGATAGATGGACGGACAGATGGACGGACAGATGGACAGATGCATGGATGGATAGATGCATGGATGGATGGATGGACGGATGGATGGATAGATGGATGGACAGATGGACAGACGCATGGATGGATAGATGGATGGATGGACAGAAGGACGGATGGATGGATGGATCGATGGATGGACAGATGGATAGATGGACAGAGACATGGATGGATAGATGGATGGATGGACAGAAGGACAAATGGATGGATGGATGGATGGATGGATGGATGGATGGATGGATGGATCGATGGATGGACAGATGGATAGATGGATGCATGGATGGATAGATGGATGGATGGACAGAAGGACAAATGGATGGATGGATGGATGGATGGACGGATGGACAGATGGATGTGAATTATCTCCAGCCCTCCCCCGTTTCCTAGTGCCTGTCTCTCATTCCCTGAATTGATCACCTCTCAGCTCCCAGTGGCAATGCCAGAGTTTGAAAAGAAAGGTATCTACCGGACTCAAGGCATTTCCTGGGCTGGGGGAATCAAAGAGGTTGAGCTGAGCAATGGGAGGGGCTCTATGCTTGGCAACAGCAGCTAGGTCTAGGCCAGAAACCCCCAGGGCCAGCCAGAAATGGGTGATCTTAAATTGGATGCCATGAGCCCAGGCCCGAGTCTGTCTAGCCCCAGGAGACACAACCTCTTAGGTCTCCAACACTTTGGTTCGAGTCCACATTACCCCCTGCCCTAAGCCAGAACAGGTCTGTGGGCCCAGAACCAGCTCTGCAGCTGTAGTTTTTGTTGTTGCCAATGAGGAGAAAGAAAATGGTCTCTCAGCCCAGGGCACTAGGATGACAGAAAAGGAGGACCTAGCTGGAGATGACCCTGAGCTTCTGCTGAGGCCCCTGAGCACACGCCCCTTGGGGAAGGGTCTTTTCCTCCACCACTGGCAGGCAGGAGCTGGCAGAGCTGATCAAGACCATGAGGAGCTCGGCTCAGCATCCCCGGCCTCTCCAAGGAGCCTCTCCAGGGCCCCTCTCAGCCATCCTGAAGCAGCAGCTGCCAGAGATTAGCAGATGGCTCTCCCACCTGCTCCAGCCTGAGTAAACACATTAGCAGCTGAGCTAGGACCACTTCCTGCTTCCTGGTCAGGCTGAGCTGACCTTTGTCCTGAATGAGAGGTTCAGACCTGCCCCCACCCTCTTAGTGGACTGACATCAGTCAAAGAGCTGGATGTGCACCCAGCATACAGTCAGCGCAGAATAAACGCTTGGCTTTCCACCTTTCCTCTCTGCTTCTCCCCAGCGTAGGAATGTGCAGCCTCCTACAGGGAGGTGCAGCCACACCCAGAAAGAGGATAATGCAGGTCTCCAATGTGTTAGCTGGGATCCTCAACTCCAAAAAGCTCTGAAACCCAAAACTTGTTTCCAAAATTTGCCACAAACACATTGAGTGACGCACCGTGACCTGAACTGATGTGAGGTGACTTCTGCTCCCCACATTGTCCTGTGATCATGAATCCTGCCAGCCCCACCCAGGACCGTTAGCGGAGTGACCATGCACCACTGTCCACCCCTCACGGAATCATGATGGAACGAGTACCACAGGATCCACACAGCACCTTCCTCTGCCTTGATGTATTCTGAATTTCAAGACACCTGTGGTGCCGAGTTCAGGGAAAGGATTAAGGACCTGTAAACCCAGCATTTCTGCTGCAGGGTGGTCTACACTGACCTGAGCGGGTGCTGAGGACGGAGGACTCCCCGCCTCCCCCCCGCCCCGTGTGCCCTCGCAGATGTGTCCCCAGGCAGGGGTGAGGCACCTGGGCTTAATCCTTGCTTAAGGAGGAGGGGGATGCAAATGCAGGTAGACAGGGGGAGAAGGGCCCTCGGAGGACCAGACAATATCCCCCAGCCCTGTCTGTGTGAGTCTGCCCTACAGAAGCAGGCATGGGAAGAAAGCAGAAAGTGCCACAGATGAAGAACTAAATGGAATGACCTGTAGGGACCCTGCAGGAGAGAACCCAGGATCCGGGAAGAGCGTCTGTCTCCAGGGTTGGCAACAGCAGCTGGGGCTAGGTCAGAAACAGGGTGCCTTCCTCCGCTGTGGGGGGCTGTCTTCCAGGGGGCCAGCTGCAAGACGAGCTCACCTGTCTCTGAGCACCTGAGAAAACAGGAACATCCAGAAACTGTTGCGGAGGCTCTGGGTTCAGTTCTGTTTTGTTTTGTTTGTTTTGTTGACATGGAGTCTCACTCTGTTGTCCAGTCGCTCAGGCTGGAGTGCAGTGGCGCGATCTCAGCTCACTGCAGCCTCCACCACCCGGGTTCTAGTGATTCTCCTGTCTCAGCCTCCCGAGTATCTAGGACTACAGGCACACACTGCCACATCCAGCCTATTTTTATATTTTTAGTAGAGTTGGGGTTCCACCACACTGGCCAGGCTGGTCGAGGCAATTTTACATTGAGCCGCCATAACCCCGGTGTGAAATTGCTATAACCTCACTTGTACCAACAGCCTGGGGCAATGTCAGTGTTTTCAAATGACCCTGCATACGGAGTATTGTAAGCATTTTACAAATTTAGGAAACTGATGGATAGAGAGGTTAAATGGTATGGCCCTAGCCCAAAGCTGGTCAAGAGCAACACTGAGACTCCATTGCCGGTTCACCCCACACCTTGCAGGCGCTCTCAAGTGTAGAAGATTTAAGGCAGACCACTCCCGGGATGCTTTACAATGTTTAGACCTCTCCAGTGCTGGGCTTACCAGAGTTGAGAACCGGTATCACATTTTCCTAAGAAAATGCTTTAGGCAGTCGGGCATGGTGGCTCACACCTGTAATCCCAGCACTTTGGGAGGCAGAGGTGGGCGAATCACTTGAGGTCAGGAGTTCAAGACCAGCCTGGCCAACATGGTGAAAGCTCGTCTCACTAAAAAATATAAAAATTAGCTGGGCATGGTGGTGTGCGCCTGTAATCCCAGCTACTCAGGAGGCTGAGGCAGGAGAATTGCCTGAACCCAGGAGGCGGAGGTTGTGGTGAGCCGAGATCACGCCATTGCACTCCAGCCTGGGTAACAAGAGCAAAACTCCATCTCAAAAAAAAAAAAATCTGCCAATCTCTCAAGTGTCTTTTAGAGGAGAGAAAGACTTAAATGGTTTACAATCGATCCTACTCCCCTTCTCCCTGCCTCCCCGCCCATCTGCTGACATGTCTTAGCTAAAGAAAATCATTTGGAAATTCTGAATTTCTTTCCTAACAGTTCCCACCAACATGTGATGTGCGGGGTGATCTTACTGCCTGTCATTCATCCTCTGTTAACATCTGAGGGTGGTTATTGCTCTTGCATCTTTCATTTCTTCCCAAGCCTAGATAGGATTTTTGCTGTTTGGAAGTTGATTGACAAATTGTTTTCTGGACTCTGTTAGTTTTCAAGGAGCTGCCATAACAAAATATCACAGACTAGGTGGACTCCGTTAGTTTTCAAGGAGCTGCCATAACAAAATATCACAGACTAGGTGGACTCCGTTAGTTTTCAAGGAGCTGCCATAACAAAATATCACAGACTAGGTGGACTCCGTTAGTTTTCAAGGAGCTGCCATAACAAAATATCACAGACTAGGTGGACTCTGTTAGTTTTCAAGGAGCTGCCATAACAAAATATCACAGACTAGGTGGACTCCGTTAGTTTTCAAGGAGCTGCCATAACAAAATATCACAGACTAGGTGGCTTAAACAACAGACCTGTTTTGGTGGCTTGTTTTTGTTTTTGTCCTGTTTTGAGATGGAGTCTCGCTCAGTCGCCCAGGCTGGAGTGCAGTGGCACAATCTCGGCTCAATGCAACCTCCGCCTCCTGGGTTCAAGTGATTCTCCCAAGTAGCATTACCTCACCTGGCTAATTTTTGTGTTTTTAGTAGAGACAGTATTTCACTGTGTTGGCCAGGCTGGTTTCAAACTTCTGACCTCAAGTGACCCACCTGCCTCAGCCTCCCAAAGTGCTGGGATTACAGGCGTGAGGTACCATGCCTGGCCAGAAATGTATTTTCTTACAGTTCTGGAGGCTGGAAGTTCAACAACAATGTATTAGCTGAATGTGGTGGCTCGGGCCTGTAATCCCAGTACTTTCAGAGGCCAAGGCGGGAGGATCACTTGAGCCCAGGAGTTCAAGACCAGACTAGGCAGCATAGCAAGAACCCTGTCTCTACAAAAAATACAAAAATAGCTGGATGTGGTGGTACAGGCCTGTAGTCCCAGCTAGGGAGGCTGAGACAGGAGGACCACCCAAGCCCAGGAGGTTGAGGCTGCGGTGAGCCAATATCACAATATCATGCCACTGCACCCCAGCCTGGGTGACAGAGTTGAAGGAGGAGGAGAAGGAGGAAGAGGAGGAGGAGGAGAAGGAAGGAGGAGGAGGAAGGAGGAGGAGGAGGAAGAGGAGGAGGAAGAGAAGGAAGGAGGAGGAGGAAGAGGAGGAGGAGGAGAAGGAAGGAGGAGGAGGAAGGAGGAGGAGGAGGAAGAGGAGGAGGAGGAGAAGGAAGAGGAGGAGGAGGAAGAGGAGGAGGAGAAGAAGGAAGGAGGAGGAGAAGGAAGGAGGAGGAGGAAGGAGGAGGAGGAAGAGGAGGAGGAGGAGAAGGAAGGAGGAGGAGGAGAAGGAAGAGGAGGAGAAGGAAGGAGGAGGAGGAAGAGGAGGAGGAAGAGGAGGAGGAGGAGAAGGAAGGAGGAGGAGGAGAAGGAAGAGGAGGAGAAGGAAGAGGAGGAGAAGGAAGGAGGAGGAGGAAGAAGGAGGAGGAGGTGGGGAGGAAGCTGTTGGCAGCTTGGGTTTCTTCTGAGGCCTCTCTCCTTGGCCTGCAGAAGGTCACCTTCTCCCTGTGTCCCCACACGGCCTTTCCTCCGTGCACACCTCCACCGTCTCTGCATGTCCTAATCTTTTCTTATAAAGACACCAGTCGGGTTGGATGAGGGCCCATGGTAACAACCTCACTTTAACTTCATTGCCTGTTTCAAGTCTGTATCCCAAATGCAGTCACAGTTTGAGGTACTGGGGGTTAGGTCTTCCACATATGCATTTGGGTTGGGGGAAACGATGCGTGTTTTAAAGAGAAGTGTCCCTTGGCTGTGGATCCAGGCTTTGATGAAAGTCACTTTTCTCTTCACTGTATACAAACTGTCCCCACCCTTCTCTTCTCCTTGGCTGGTGTAACAGGACTCAACGCCAGTCTTGGATCTTTAAACATGATCTCTCCTTTCTCCTTAAAAGATCTTGAAGTTTTTGAAGTATTCAACCTTGTTGAACAGGCACCTGGAGGTGGGCCTTTTAATTTCCACACTGAGAGTATCTTTTCATTCAGAAAGGTTCCTTTCTTTCTCTCTCTTTCTTTTCATTTCTTTTCTTTCCTTCCTTCCTTCCCTTTTTTCTTTGAGACAGTCTTGCTCTGTCGCCAAGGCTGGAGTGCAGTGGCATGATCTCAATCTCAGCTCACTGCTACCTCCACCTCCTGGGTTCAAGAGATTCTCCTGCCTCAGCCTCCCAAGTAGCTGGGATTACAGGGGCATGCCTGGCTAATTTTTGAGATGGGGTTTTGCCATGTTGGCCAGTCTGGTCTCAAACTCCTGACCTCAGATGATCCACCTGCCTCGGCCTCCCAAAGTGCTGAGATTACAAGCGTGAGCCACCGTGCCTGGCCTTAGCTGCACACTTCTTTTTGTCTTTGGAATAGATATTAACACACCCAGGTTGCTTCCGGGGCTGGCCTCTGGCTCTACGGTGTGTGCAGCCATTGCCCCTCTCTGACCCCCATGCTCACTTCTGTTCTCCCTG